GTTGAATGTGTCAGATGTGGTTTAAAGTTTTGTTCAGAAAATTTTGAACTAAAGGTTACTAAATGTACAGGGGACCTAAAAGCTGTTGAAGAAGAGTAATTTCAAGAAAAAAATTGTTAAAATTTTACAAATAACTCATGAACTCAACAAATCACGGCACGTTACAGACATGATTATGTTCCACATGAAGTGGGGAGAGGGAATCTGGATTGAATATAATTTTGTCTAAGGTAGGCAGCTCTAAGGTTTCATTTTATTTTTAATTTAATTATTTATTTTTATCATAAAAATCTTTTTACAAATGACAAAATCAAAATATTTATTAACCAAAAATTTGTTCTGGTGGGTTGTGATTGTTCAAGTCAGGTACCGAGGTACAGTACCACTGTATTTGATTAACACGATTTTGACATACATAGTAGCATCAAGGAATTAACTAATCGTGTTAATTAAGGGATACGTGTACTAAACTTGTCCCATTAGTACTTTAACAAATTGAAAATAGATTTTACCTTAGCATAGTCTGTACAGATAAATAAATACATACATTTGATTCTGTCTCTGGATAATTCAACAAAGACTATTATTAATAAACGTATGTCCATATATTCCTCATCTGTGACTTTGTTTCTTTGAAAAGAATTGAATAAACCTTTAAATACAATGTAAATACCTTTAGTTAATTTGCATGTAGAAATGAATATCCAAGTTGATATTTAATCAAATATAGTTTTTCATTTCTTTCACACAAAGAGTTTTTTTCACTTATGTCAGTCCTAACCAAAATTTAATTTACAGTAATTTTTCTATTAATAACAAAATTAAAAAATAATCTGAAATCAATAAAAATTAAAAACTAATTGAGAATGAATAAAAGAATGTCAACTTAAGAAGTTTATTTTCAGGAGGTTTATTTTTATAGTGGTTGAAAATAAGTTCAATAGCCAACATGACAAGAGAACAAAATTGGGCACATTTTTGCTTCTAATTACTTTAAATGAAGTTAAACAGTAAAATTGAAGCAATAGAGCTCATCTACATTAAATAAGCATCAAAATAATGTACAAAACATCCCTTCTCATTATTCACTATCAGCTTGAGGTAACCTTTAGAACGATTACTTCTTTACTAATTGTACTGTACACACAAATTCAGTTATAGTGTTAATTTGTTCCATGCCACACTTTTATGAAATTATTTTTAGTTTGAAAGAAATTCATAAAGTACTTTTACTTATAGGTTTTTCTCACACAATATTTTTATCAATTCCCTTAAAAAACATAAATGGGGTTTGAATGTACTATGAATATCTACAATATTTTGCCATACATAAACAAAAGTGGTCTTGTACATTTTTTTAGAAAGTGTTGCCATACAGAGTACACAATATGGAACAAAGTTACAGAAGGAAATTTTGTATGTTCAAAATGGCAACACTGTATCACATGGTATATCTGGTCAACCTGCCATTTTTTGTTTTTGTGAGAATGAAACATTGTGTGTGTTTGTATAGTAGTGCTTTTTCATTATTTTAAAGAGGGTAAGTTGTGATACTTTTGGCATATTTGTCTGTAATAAGTACTGTCTTATAACAGTAACATTTTCTTGTATAACTTAAAAATAGTCCTGAAAATACCAACGACAAATCACATAAGTAGGAGCCTTTGGTCTTTCCTAAGTTTGACACATGCTTTTTCTACATCCTACATCAAACCCTGAAATGTTTTATGTATCTACCATTTCAAATGGAGCGACAAAAAGGCAACTGACATGGGAGAAAGTGGGTTGTCCAACAAATAGAAGTTATATTTGTGACCACTGTCATTTATGGAACACAAACCAGTTTCTATTATTAGAACACATGCAGCGGCGTTACACGAGTGGAGTTCCGGATACAGAAATTTATCCGACTTTTGTAGAAAGGTCTTATCCGCTAGCACTTTCAGTATTGTAAAACTACCATCATCAGGTGGTACATAGAATACGATAGTTTAAGCTTTCCAAACAATATTCTGATGGTTTTTCAAAATTTCAATATCGAATATTTCGAACAATATTTCCGACGGTTCAGCTGATTATGGTTTTCGATTATTATTTAAAGGTTCTTACGTCATAGTATGTAGAAACTGTGCATAGCACTCTGCATTTCTAGTACCATACCGTGCAACTCCCCAACTTTCGAGCTCCTACAAATTTGGATAACAGCTTTCAAACAACTCAACCCAAGATAAAAATACTAGTGGCGTAGTAAACACTAGTATTGTGTTTTATTCCAAAGACACATGGCAAATTTGCCACGTGTCTTTGGAATAAAACACAATACTAGTGTTTACTACGCACAAATATAAAACAGGACACGGTTTCAAAAAACAAATAAAAATACTCCTTTATTGCTCATATGCTTATTTTACCTTGGTGCGCATACATGCATGAACTATGCTCTTTTATGGACATTTCTCACTATAATATTTATTATCATTTTTCAATGCGCTATGACATAAGAACCTTTAAATAATATTCGAAAACCATAATCAGCTGAACCATCAGAAATATTGTTCGAAATATTCGATATTGAAATTTTGAAAAACCATCAGAATATTATTCGGAAAGCTTAAACTATCGTATTCTATGTACCACCTGATGATGGTAGTTTTACAATACTGAAAGTGCTAGCAGATAAGACCTTTCTACAAAAGTCGGATAAATTTCCATATCCGAAACTCCACTCCTGTAATGCCACTGCACGTAAGTGTTCGAATAATAGTATACATCGGCATGAAGTGCAAACTTATTAAACCAGTTTCTAAAAAGTTTATTAAAATAATTAGAAAAAACTAGTTATAGTTTCTTACAGTCACTTTTAATAAAATTATAGTGCTTTCTTTTACTTTGTGTTTTTCTGTTACTTTTAAAATGGGTCTGATTTAGACAACCTTTTCCTCATATGGTGTTTTTGTACTTTCTTCTATAAATAATTTATTTGAAAAGTCTGTTGCATTATGAGTTAAACTGAGCTATGCAGACTATTAGAAAGCATATCAAATATCTCATTTTGTTAAAATTCAAATATAAATAATTTTAAATAAAAAATATACAGATTAGAAACAAAATGGGATCCCAGACTTTGGCCAATTTTCTCTACAGTCACAGTGGCAGATCCAGAAGTATTCAAAGGAGAGCTAACTCAAAAATTAAATAAATTTGAAAAATTAATAAGTACCTTTTACTAACACAAACAATTGTATTATGACTGGTTTGATAAATCATATATAAAATGTTTTTAAAAACATTTTGAAGATCAAACAAATAAATGTTAATTTTTTTTGTGTTGATGCTATTTTGTATCCATCACTGCACACAGACAGCACATCTTTAGTACCTATGGTTTAATTTGTGACAAGAAAAGAAGTAAACTAGATTCTAGTTTACTTCTTTTTTGAAGTTTTTTGAATTCTCATTTTCTTAAATAAAAATCTGTAGTAGGTAAGAAAGAACAATTATTTGTTAATCTATTGCAGTTGAGATAAGAGTTGGCTGCCTAAAAAAGAGTACAGGTATCCCTTCTTACAACATAGTTTTGCTCTAACATGGTTTGAAAATTGGGGTTATTGCTCCATACAACATGACTTCCAGTTTCACTCTAACATGGTTATGAAAATCCTCCATACAAAATTTCACAATATATCAATAAAAATATTCTAAAAAGAATCGATGGAGTCAGATAATCTATTTTTTTACCGTATTGTACTATTCATTAGTACACGGAAAACTGCTAGTTTTCCATTCGTTTCTGACTTTTGGAGGCTTAATAAGTCCCGAGTCCGTAGACTGGTATAAAAACTTAAAAAAGGTAAACAGGTTAACAAGGAAAATATACTTTTATTTTTATAAATATATACTNCATATTTTTATTTCCAAAATTCTGAAAATTTATACAGTATTTTAGAATACAAACAGTTTTAAATTGTTTTAGTAATAAACAAGTTTTGATCATATATTCTGTTTAGCATTGATCTAAAGTACTTTTAAAAAGTACACAAGTGAGAAAATTACTGCAGTAATAAAACATCTGAAATTAAATAGTTGTTAATATTATGATTAAGAAGTATAATTGAGATCTTTTGCTATTTTATTATATATGTAAAGTCCATAATATGAGAATGCAACAACAAAACAATAACTGTTTATATCAAATAGCAAGACAAACTAGAGGTGACCAATATTGCTTCATTTAATCTTTGTATTCAAATACCAAAGGTCAATATATTTCCATTTCTAATTATTGAAAAGATTTGATAATTTTTATTTCAAAACATTCATTAAAGCAGCTGAAAACAGATTTCTTCCATAGAAAATATTTAACTGAAAATTGAGAAAATTCACACATTTATATAAATCCCAAATATCTAATTAAAGTTTAAAATATTGATTTAATGGTAACACTTATATATTAAAAAGCTTAACACTAACAGATTGTTTTTACAATTGTAAATTTTTTAAATAAATTGATAAAAATTGATAAAAAAGTGATAAATTGGTAAATTTACAATTCCTCCTTTGCCACTATCCATTTCTTCATTTATATACTTTGAATAATCACTATACATTATATAAATTATGACTTTTTTTAAAATTTACATTCAGTGTTACAAATATCAGGGCTTTTGAAGAATTAGTCAACTTACATTTAAAATTAAATTTTCTTTGTAAGTTTGTTATAAAAGTCTATCATTATTGTAAATCAAAACCATTAATGTCTAAACATACATATAAAATTTTTCATTTGAACTAAACTTGATTTTATATATTATTAATTTTAATTTCTAAAACTTTATATATGGTATTTATCAAATATATAATAAATAATACAAATAATAAATCTGAAAAATAATATAAAATCTAACAAATCAATATTTTAAAATGCATTTGTATGTAATAAAGAAAGCACTTCATAAAGGTTTAATACAATAATAAAAATATTAAAAGTCTAATAAACTTACGAAAATTATTTCAATTATATTCATGATTGTTGTTTCAAAATTCGCAAAGTCTTTGTCAATTGAACTTCTAAATTTTGATAGCCTTTATTTACCTGTTTGAATCAATAAATATATTAAATATATTTTTAAAAAGTATAAAAATTTATTTTTATTAATAAAAAAAACAAATTCTAACAAATTTTTAAAAACAAGTTTTATGCTTGTCATTTATTATTGTTAAAATTTTACAAAAACAATAGCTACTGTATAATTGTATTCCAAATGCAATAAATTTTTTTAGAGTAATGATGAATCTCTCTCTCATTTAAGTGATATTCATTATTAAATTTTTCAACTGATTTCAAAAGAATCTTGATTTTTTTGTCAAAAACTCAAAGAAAGAAAACATTCATTCATTGTTTTAGGTTCATCTTTAAAGACTTACAAAATTCAAAAAATTTGCACAGGATTATTATTATTATTATTTTAATATTTATAAAACTTCTGAGGGTAA